TGTAACTACAATCCACATTTTCTATCTAATGTTGTATACTATATGTTGTTCTTAACCAAAGGTCAGTGAGATTTCTAAGTTCTGTAGAATCTGTAATCAATCATTATCCTATGTCCTTGGCCAGTTACTTATGTAATAGGCTCTGGAATAAGCCAATCAATATTTACAAATCGCATGATTTCTTCTCAACAGGAAGAAAATGAAAGTGCTTAGTTCAGTCCCTCTTGGGACATCCTCCAACTCTGAAGGACTCCAACTCCATCTTGTCTGCTTGCCTTTATGACTTTCTGGCCTTTATGAGAAAAAAAGAAAAACTAGCAATGGATGCTAGATGAGAGGGTGGCAGTGCTGGCAGATAATGATCTTATCACAAGTAAGTATAATTAAATCATGGCCTCTGAGATTTGGAAAGAAGCCCAGAGGTCATCTAGTCTTAGCCTTTGCCTGAAGCCAAAACTTCTTCTTCAGTATCCCCAACAAGAGGTGATCTAGTCTCTGCTTGGACATATCCAGGGACAAAAGATTTCGCTACTCTTTATCTGTGATTAGAGCTGCACCAGGGATTATGGGATCCTGTAATGAAATTCAGGGGAGAAAGTTTGGTTTGAAAGTATGTGGGAGATTGAAGCTTGGGGAAAATTAAATTCAATGATTCTGAGAATAGCACCAGCTGCAGTTTAGGAGGATACTTGTAAGACAGACAAAGAAAGGGTAGTCAGAAGGGAAGGGGAACAACAAAGCCAGGGCAAGTGAAAATTTCAGGAAACAACACGTGTGTGGAAATGAAGGCCAAAGAAGGAAGTTAGGGTCTAGAAAGTCAAAGAGATGGATGTGGAGGTCCTGAGAAACTGCACGGCATCCTGGACATAGCAACAGACTTGGAATGAGAAGAGTTCTCAGGAACAGAGCTTCTCATGCAAGTGGACCTTGGATCTCATTTTCTACAACTGCTGTTGTTACCAACAACAATAGAAAGAACTATGCAAAGAATTTGAGATTTCAACAGTGAAGAGACTCCTTCTATCCACTTAGATCCCCAAATGTTAGTTCTCTCCCTCTCTAACTTCCTTAACTACCTTATATTTAACAATCTTGTGTTTGTCTTCTATTTATTCTGTATTTTCTTATATATGTATATGATGTCTTCTCTGATGGAATGAAAGTTTCTTGAGCGTAAGGATTATTTCAGGCTTTGCATTGATATTACCAATACTGAGTGCCTGGTACATAATAGGAAGTTAATAAATGCTTATTGATTAATTTTTTAAATTAATGTAAACTTAAATACAAAATGAGAAAAGAAAAAATACACATTGCCATGTACACAGCAGTACATGAAAGGATTCAATATAAAATAATAAATTTGCATTTCAAGAAAACTTATATAATTAATACTACACATTGTTTTCAAAGCTATCGAGTTTTTCTTTGCTTTGAGGTAGGTTTTCTTCTGTTCTCTGCTGTGAATTTTTTACCTTTTTTTCCCCTCCTTCCCATCCCTCCCAAAGAAGGCTACAATTAACTGGAGATATATAGATATATGTGTGTTTGTGTATGTGTACATATACATAGATATCTATATACATACATGTATATACACATATACACTCATATACTTATATGTAAGACCATACTATTCTTATTTCCACTTGCCATCTGTTTCTCTGAAGGTGGATAGCATCTTCCTTCCTAAGTCTAAGTTTTTCCATGCTTATCAACCATCTCATCATTTCCTACGTCACAGCAATATTCCAACCTAATCACATTCTATCTGAGAGATTGTCTGTGAAAGTTTTTTCCCAATTTTCTACATTCCTTCTATTCTTGGCTGCATAGGTTTTATCTATACAAGAAAATTTTAATTTAAAATAATCAAAATTATCCGTTTTATACTTCAACAATGTTCTCACCTTATAATATAGTTTAAGGTCTGATACTACTGAATCTGTTTCCTTTATATCTTTTTCTCCCTGGTTTCTTTGAAGTTCCTGTCCTTTTGTTCTTCCAAATGAACTTTGTTATTATTTTTTCTAACTCAGCAAGATAATTTTTTAGTAATGTAATTAAGATGGCATTACATAAATAGATTAGTTGGGTAAAATTGTCACTTTTTATTTTATTGGCTTTACCTACCCATGAACAATAAATATTTACTTCAATTATTTAGATCTAACTCTATTTGTAGCATGGAGGGTATTCTGATTTTTATAATAATCACTATGATATGTGTAATGAATATACTAATAGATTAGATTTTGTAGAATTGCCTTTTCCAGCTTGTGAGTTAGACTCACAATGCAGCTTGAGCTGATCAATCCAACCTTGACAAGGCTCACAATCACTGGCGTCCTTCTGCCTGAGTACCTAAAGTGAAGGGAATCAAAGATTGCAGAACCTGTTGCCGTCACAAAATCCATCAAGTAACAACCGTCAAGGACTCGAGTAATATTGCTCCCACAGGACTCCAGAATTGTTGTATTATCTTCTGTTTGTGGATTTGTCCTGGGAAACTACTCTGGCCCTGGGAACAATGGTTTGTAATCCACCTTCCCCCCCTCCCTTTCCACCTGTGATTTATGTATATAATCTCTGTCTTCACTTCAGCAAGGTGGAATTCTGATCAGGAGAGTTGCTGATTTGCAAATCTGTTCCTCATAATGAAACTAATTAATTAAATGGCTACCTGATGACTGGCACTTTGTCTCTGGCCTGCTGTTTCATCATTCTCCAGTTAGAGACTGGCTCAATAAAATCCTGTTAACATTAAAAAAGTGTTTTATGTTTACATTCATATAGTTCCTGCATCTGTTTTGATTGGTATACTCTTAGGTATTTTATACTGTCTAGTTATTTTAAATGTTCTAAAACAATATTGAATAATATGGCTGACACATAAGTGTAGTTCTTCTATGTTTCTCTTTTGATTAAATCTATTTGAGCTTTAACTTTGAGATCATGATTACTACTCCTGCTTTTTTCACATAATAAATTCTACTCCTGACCTTTATTTTATGTTTCTGTGTATCTCTCATTTTTATAGCATTTCGTGAAAGCACCATATTATTGAATTCAAATTTTTAATCTGCTGTCAGTTTCCCTTTTATGGGTAAATTCATCCCAGTCATATTCTAAGCTATAATTACTTATTGTATATTTTCTTTCTTCCTATTTTTCCTCACTATCCTTCTCACCCTATTTACCCTGGCCATCCTCACTCCTCTGCTTTACTTCCACCTGCTACCTTGCCCTCCTATTCCTTAACCTACTCCAAGAATCCCTCCCTTAACCTCTTCCCCCTATCCTATCCCCTTGCCCTCTTATTTCTTTCTGAATTTAGAACACACATACACACACACACACACACACACACACACACACACACACACACCCGACGTTTCAGCACTACCTACCGTGCCCCCACTAGCTTTTTCTATATCATTTTCCTTTTTTTTGCCTCATTTGTGTGAGATAATTACTGTTTTATCTCTCTCTACAGTTTTTTTAGAATCATCCATCATACTTAGCTTTCCCCAAGCCTTTCTTCCAAACTACCAAATAAAAATAAGTTATAAAAGAACTGATAATATTTTCATTTATAAGAAGTAAATTATTTGACCTTATTGAGTCCCTTAAAATTGGTCTTTAATGTTTACTTTATATTTCTCCTGGATATTATATGTCAAGTTTTCCCTTATATTCTGGAGTTTTTGTCACAAATACCTGAAAGTCTTTCAGTTCGTTAATTATCCTTTTTTTTTTCATTCAATGTTATACTTAAATTTGCTGGGTAAGTTATCCTTGGTTGTAACCCCAGCACTTTTGTTCTATGTGAAATATAGTATTCCAAGGATCCTTCAATGTAGTAGCAGATAGGTCTTGTGTAATCTTTGTGGTAGCTCCATGATATTTAAATTGTTTTTTTCTTGTTGCTTCCAATATTTTCTTTTTAACTTGAGAGCTTTGAAACTTGGCTATGATATTCCTGTAAGTTTTCCTCCTGGGATCTTTTCCAGGTGGTGATCAGTAGATTATTTTCTATTTCTGCTTTGCCTTCTTGTTCTAGAACTTCAGGGCAATTTTCCTTGAAAATTTCTTGTAATATTGTATCAAGATTCTTTTTTTTTCAGTCATAATTTTCAGACAGTCCAACTATTCTTATATTATTTCTCCTTGATCAGTTGTTTTTCTGATGAGATATTTCACATTCTCTTCTATTTTCTTCATTCTTCTGAATTTGTTGTATTATTTCTTTTTGTCTTAGAATATTATTAGCTTCCCTTTGTCCAATTCTAGTTTTCAAGGAATTATTTTCTTCCTTAAGTTTTTGATTCTCTATTTTAAGTTGGTTGTCTTTTCATAATTTTCTTGATTTTCTTGGTTTGCTCTTATTTTTTTTCTAATTTTTCATTGATCTCTCTTATTTGATTTTTAAAGTCCTTTTTAAGTTCATCCAAGAAATATTTTTTGTGCTTGGGACAATTTGATGTTTCTCATTGAAAAAGGAATGGCTTTTTTAGCTCCATTATTTTCCTCTAAATATGAACCCAAATCTTCTCTATCCTCATAGTAGGTAACTATGGATAGGTTCTTTCTCCTTTGCTTGCTCATTTTTATTCATTTTTTTGTTTTAATTTGTTTTTAGCAGCTATTGGTGTGATAAAATTCTAGTCCTCCAAGTTATGGGGAATGATGCACCAAGCCTCAGGTCTTTCTTACTGTTATTTTCTGAGATCTGTCCCAGGGCTCAACCTTGGGCTCTCTTCTCCACTCCTGAGCGATTGGGACCCACCTGAATTTGTTTCTGATATGCAGCGTCAACAATATCCATCAAATGGTTATTGATGTTCTCCTGAACAAGAGGTGGAGAGCAGCAGGTAAGGGGCAGACAGCTCTGACAGCCCCATCCCACCCTTGTTGGAAAGACAACAAAACTCCCAGGGTGCATGATGAAGCAGAGTGGGATGAAGACAGAGAGGAAGGTCATTGAACAGGACCCAGAAATGTCAGTTGCCCTTAATGTCAGTGAGGAGGCCTGAACAGTAGAGTCTCTGGATGAAATTGGGGACAGCTAGGGACCCCAGCCACACTGTCCCACAAATGACCTTCCTCCCTGCAGTTCCTTCAGTGGCTGCAAACCATAGCTTTCCTCTCTTGCCTGGAATTGAAGCCAGGAACTCTGCTTTCCAGCAAGTGCCCACAGTCAGCAGGGTCTCTGCCCCTCTGCTTCTGCACTCACCAGGTGTTCAACTCCTCCCCCACAGCACCAGCCCAGCCCCAGACACATCTGGTCAGCACAGCTGTGCTTGATGTCCCTCAATGGTGGAAGGTCCTTCAATCTTCTCCTACTCAGCCACCAGACCCCTACACTGTCCAGGAGATGAAAGTTTCTAAGACTGAGACTACCCCTCAACCCCAGCCCCCCAGTTTGTTGTTTGTTGTTTCTACAGAGTTGGCCTGGAGGTGTTTGCACTTTACTCTAGGATGAACATCTGCCCTTGGAGGTCTTTCCTGGAGTCTTCTTAGCTTGTCTGAAGAGAACAGCTGCTTTACTTCTGTCTTTTTCTGTGAAAGAAATTTGGAGAGCTGAAAGTTTTCTGACCTACCCTGCCATCTTCCCAGAATCCTCTCCCTTTGATTCTCTACCTAGGTAAATTCTAATGTCTCCAAAACTGTTACCTCAGTTATTTGAGACTGAAGTTAAACAGTTCGAATTTCATATGGAAATTTACCATCTGCCTTGCTTTAAAAAACAAAACAAATCCATACAAAACCACAACTTCCTCCTTGCCCTGGCTTGTGTTAACAGTGAACACTGATAGTATACCACCCTGGGGAAAGAGTCAGCATTGCCAATGTAGCTACAAAGCTTGGACTTTGTGCAGCCTTTCAGGATAATGAATCTGGATATAAGGTTTATAGTGACGTAGATGCTTAGGGGAAAACACCAGAAAAAGAAGACCATTGAAACTTTGTTTTTTTTTTAATGCACAGAAGAAATCAGAAGGAAGCACATGTAGTCAGAAGGAAATGGATAGACTTTCTTATTTTTATTTTTTTATAAATCAAATGGTAGGAAATATAAATTTAGGTTTACATATAGAATCTTCTTTTGATATTCTGCTGTATGCATGGAAATTCTCCACCTTCTTTTTTTGGTAAAGTTTATAATTTGAAAAGAATTAAAATCACCCTATATCTGGAAGCCTTATGAGATGCCCATGACACGCAGCTCTTTCTACTATGGAGGAAATTAAAACAGGTTAACCAATCTCTTCCACATACATTTCAATGCCTCTGCTACAGAAACTATACTCTTCACAAAAGCAGGTATCCCTTCCCAAAATTCGACCAAATTTTTCCACCAATACTTAATCTTTTTCAGCAACCACGACAGGGCCTTTATCAGTGTTGTATCTTTGGTTTTTTACTTATAAGAGCCGTTGTCTTTGTTGCCATCATCATTATTGTTGTTGTTGCTGTTGCTGCCGGTGCTGTTGGTGGTGGTGGTGTTCCTGTTATTGGTGTTTTTGGTGTTATTGTTGGTTTTTGTTTTGGTGTTGGTATTTATCTTTTTAGTGGTAGTAGTAGTGGTAGTGGTAGTGGTAGGTGGTATTTGTGTTGCTGTTGATGCTGGTCTTGGTGTTGATGTTAATATTGGTGTTGATGTTGGTGTTGGTGTTGGTTTTGGTGTTGGTGTTGATGTTGATGTCTGGCAGGAACCAGAGAGATTGGGACCCACCTGAATTTGTTTCTGATATGCAGCGTCAACAATATCCATCAAACGGTTATTGATGTTCTCCTGAACAAGAGGTGGAGAGCAGCAGGTAAGGGGCAGACAGCTCTGACAGCCCCATCCCACCCTTGTTGGAAAGACAACAAAACTCCTAGGGTGCATGATGAAGCAGAGTGGGATGAAGACAGAGAGAAAGGTCATTGAACAGGACCCAGAAGTCCTAAATGTCAGTTGCCCTTAATGTCAGTGAGGAGGCCTGAACAGTAGAGTCTCTGGACGAAATTGGGGACAGTATAACAGGGGTTCTGGCCAATGGCAGCCCATTCCCAGAGCATGCTCAGCAAGCTCTGCCTGCTGTCAGCTCATAGGGAAGAGGCTGAGAAGACTCCATTCAGGAAAGGCAGGATGATGTATGATGGAAGGGCCAGATGAGGTGCCATAATCATACTGAAGAGTAGAATTCAGCTTGGCAAGGAGTGGGCCTGGCTGAGAGAATGGGGAAACTCATCCATCAGCTCTGCCACATTCAGAAGTGAAGGAGGTGGGGCGAATATTTGTATCCCTGTCTCCCACTAACAGATTGTGTATTTAGGGGAGAATGTGTCCCCTAGGGTAAAGGGATGTGTTAGTACTCCCATTCTTGCTATATCTTCTCAGTAAATATCCTTTTAAAAAAGCTAATTGATTTTAATTAGTTCAGTGATACTAGGGTGCTAATCCTTGTAGGTTATCAATGATCTAAGGAAGATGATAACCATAATTGGTGATTGTTACTGGTGAAAACACTTAAGAATGGAGGATCAACTTAGTGGCATTAGAAAGATACCCACAACCACTCACAGGTGCTCCTAGAATCCTGAAGGGGACTAGAATCCTTGTTCTGGGGCTCTGACTAGCTGATATGAATATAGCTTGGGAGAATGAGTCCAGAGCCTCAGAGCAACAGGATAGGACGTGACAAGATAGAAGGAGAAAGAACTGAAATCTGGGCTTACCTTGTACTGAGAAGTTAAATCTTTAGCATTTTCCAAGACTGTTGAATCATCATCCTGCTTGGAGAAAAATCTCATTGATCCTTACCTTCTCCAGCTTCCTCACATCTGCTCTAACAAGTACCTCCCCCATCCCTACCTAATAACATGAAGGTACCAGCCAGGAGACTGAATTCCTACTCCCACCTCTAATTCAATGGAGTGGCTTAGGGAAAAGCCCTCCACTCTGAGTTTTAATTTTCCATCTATAAAGAAGGAGCTAATAATCATCACTGTTGCGAAGCACTAACGAGACCATCAATGTGGAATTGCTCTGAAAAGTTACAAGCCATGCGTAAGAAGAAGGTACTATTATTGTTGTTGTTGTTGTTGTTGCTGTTATGCCAGGTAGCACCTTTAAGGAATCCAGATACCTAACCATGGGCCCAGGGCTCAGGGCTCAGGGCTCAAGGATAGAGATTGAAACCTACCTTATTTACTCTCGATTCGAAGCTGTCTACGAACCGGTCTGTTTTCTGGTGCTGTGAAAAGAAAAGCAAGGCCAGAAGTTGGGGCTGGGGTGGGCACAGGTAGGTCCTGGACTTCCTCTGCACCAAACATCCAAAATCTACCTACATTCCTGGGAAACTTGAGAGTAGGGCAAGGGGATGGAGGGAGAAGGAGAAATAAGATCTTGCTAGGCCCTGTAATATATTGGTTTTGTCACAATAAGTGAGTTTCCTTTGCCCCATTGTTCCTGTTTCTCCAACTATAAGATGAGATGGTAGCAGCCAATGATCTCTCCTTCTCTCTCTAGTTAAGTGATCCTATGATGTTCTCAGATCATCTCTAAAGTATTCGCCACCTGTGAGGCACCATGGTTATTTATTCTGATTTTCTCTTGACCAAGAAATTCTATAATAATTCTATAAGATTCTATAAGAATCAAGAAGTTCTAGAAATTCTATAAGAGTGTGTCTGTTTGCCTTACTGTAAATTGCGCAAAATCATCAAATGGTGAGGTCTTGACCTGTGGAGGAAGTCCCCTTCCCCCTCCTTAGTAAAATATAGAGAGGGTGACGAAGTCTCCTTTTCCAACCATGCTGCACCCCCAATCCCAGAGCATGCTCAAAATTGCCCTCTTATGCCACATGTGGAAGTTGGGGCTGGGGAGCCTGCATCCAGGACATGTGACATTCTCAGAGTTTCAGGGGCCTAAAGCAGGTCCCACAAAAGGTCCATGTGGTCTTCCTCCAACCCAAACCATGAATGGTAATACTTACAGTACTGCAAGAGGGGAGATGACCCCTGCTACAATAATCATTTTTTATTGTTCACAACGATTATAGTCGCTGATACTTATCTACTGATTTCTTGTGTCACAGACATATTCTCAAATGACATAATGTATAGGAAACACTTTGTTAACCTAACAAATGTCAGTTCAGCTTGCTCCTCTTTTAATCCAACAAACATTCATGAAGTATCTCCTCTCTTCTTTAGTCCCCAGTCCCACCTTTCCTCTCAGAGCCCCAAATGACAGGACAGGGGCTGGGCTGGCTGATGGTGTGGGGGAGGAGGAGAGGGTGTGAGGCCATGTGATACACAACAGCCCCTCCTTACAGCCATGGGGATCCCAGAGATGATCCCTCCCTCCTGCCCTCACTTTTAGCCTTCCCCATTCTAACCGGGTCCCTGGGCTTACCTTTGAATAGCACCTGGTGGGCCTGAGAGTAAGGGACTGAGATGTGGGAGGAAGAAGCAGGGTCTATGGGAAGAAGAGAATGATCTGGGAGATAAGGAGAGGGGTTATTTTGATTTCTCTAGGCTGTTGTGGCCCCTGGAAGAAAAAACTCAGAGACAGTTTCTAGTCAGTAGATTTTTGACTTGCAAAGCAGGGGAGATAGACACAGACAACTATATTTGCATACAATTCAATTAGATTTTCTTATAAGGATTCTTTTATACATGAAAGCAACAATACCAGAAGAAATGCTTCCTCTATTCTGACTGGCTACAGTAACCAGGCACAGGAATCTGTGCATGGGAACACAAGAAAACAAACGGACAGTACCATCATTATCTGCTTATTATAAGGTATAAATAACATATGGTTCATGGAGTAGGGGCAGCAAAGTCCTATTTTTCCCCCAGACCAGTGAGGCCCCATCCTTTCCCTATATGGTGATGAGGCGACCCTTTCCCCTATATCATTAGCCCTATACCCTGAGCAGACAACTACTTCCCCCACATGCTGAATGGGCAACCTCACCACTCCGTAGCCCACCCTATCACCAACAACCTTGTGCTCTAGTGATCCTCAGCCCACCCTACCACCAGCGACCTTGTAGTCAAGGAACTTTCCCAAGACTGTACAAGGACAATAAGACTCCTCACTGCCCCATAGTAACTTATGTGATGTCAAAGTCCCCATTAACATCTTATGAATATACTAATAAAGGGACTCTTCAGAGTGAAAGTATAGCTATTTTGTGATAGCCACCCAGAAGACCCAGTAAAGGGCAGGCAAGCACAAGTCTTTTTCTGCTTTCATAGCACAGAGATTATGTCATTGCAAATTTCCATAAGTTACTCCCCCTTTAGCTCTGATATAAGGAAGTCCTCATTCCCTTTCCACCCAACCAACCAGCTTCCTGACACTGCTTGGGTCCATTTGCTTTTGCCACAATAAAGCTTCACCAGTTGAGAAATAAGTCAGGGTCTTGGGTAATTTTTACCCCTTGAACTCGCTCTCCCATTGCAGTTCAGCCACTTGACTGAAGCAAAGAAATGTCTATTAGAAGAGAATGAATAAAAGGTACAAGATCTTTTTTCAGCTGGACCTTGTGCTTACTCAGCCGGCTGCAGCAGCCCTGTGATTCCTTGAAACCAAGACACAATTACTGAGATTGAAAGTATTTGAAACTATTTCACACTCATCCCCAGACTCCTTCTGGGAAATGGGGCTTCACCAGACTCGGGAGCACTATCCGCTCCTCACCGTCCCCCCATACCATAGCCCACCCCACACCTCCCTCCTGTCTTGTGACAGCTTCCAGGCTGATTTCTGTCCCATGCCCCTCAGAGCCCCGTTGCTGCCTCTCTTGGGCATTTTGTTCTCTCCCTCTTTGACCATCCTCTCTAGCATTCTTCTAGCCCACTCTCCAGGAATTTCCCCAGTCTCTCACCTCTTGCAGCAGCGGGCTGGCTCATGGGTCCCTCTGAGAGAAGAGTATGTGGGGAGGAAAGCCTCTTGAGTATAAAATAGGAAAGGGAGAGGGGGAAGTGGGTGGAGCTTTCAATTGTTTGCTGGTCTCAGGGCAGCTAAGTGACATATTGAATAGAATACTGGCATGGAGTCAGGAAGACCTGAATTCATAACTGGCCTCCAACACTTGCCAGCTATGTGACCCTGGGCAAGTTATGTAACCTCTGTTTGCCTCAGTTTCCTCAACTTCAAAATGGGGATAATTACCACATATTCTTCCCAGGGTTGTAGGGGGATCAAATGAGATCTCATTTGTTAAGTGCCTGCCACAGAGTGGATGCTATTTGAATGCTAATTTATTATTATTATTAATATCACTACCATCTCCACCTCCATTTAACTATCTATAACTTTTATCTGATAATTTTATATTATGTGCTGTTCTCAGTAGGAGAGCCAGAGTCCTTCCTTAGCATCTTAACCTTATCTCCATTTGGCCAATTACATGTATAAATAGGCTCTGAGATGGGACAAGCAATACTTACAAATCACATGATTTCTTCTCAACTAGAAGAAAATGAAAGTGCTTAGTTCAGCCCCCATATAGTCACTCACACTACTCCCTAATCCAACCAGTCCCAATCTTTTCTTGTTGTTCAGTCATGGACAACATGAAGCCTCATTTCACAACTCTACCAACAGTGCATTAGTGACCCAGTTTTCCCCTATCTCCTCCAACATTTATCATTTTCCTTTTTTGTCACATTAGTCAATCTGATAGATGGCAGGTAGTACCTCAGAGTTGTTCTAATTTGCATTTCCCTAAACAATAGTGATTTAGAGCATTTTTTCATATGACTAGATAACTTTGATTTCTTTGTCTGAAAACTGCCTGTTCATATCTTTTGACCACGTATCAGTTGGGGAATGACTTGTATTCTTATAAATTTGACTCAGTTCTTTGTGTGTTTAAGAAATGAGATCTTTATCAGTGATACTTGTAAATTTTTCCCCCTCAGTTTTCTGTTTGCCTTTTCATTTTTGTTCATTATGTTTTCTTTGGTCCTAAATTCTTCCCTTATCCATTTTCCAGTTTTCCCAGCAGTTTTTGTCAAATAATGATTTTTTCCATGATTTAAATGATTTAGTAATTTAAAAATTTTGTCCCAAAAACTTGGATCTTTCGATTTATCAGATACTAGATTTCTATGGTCACTTACTAGAATGAAATGTGGATCTAATCTATTCCACTGATCCACCACTCTATTTCTTAGCCAGTACCAGATTCTTTTGATAATTACCACTTTACAATGTAGTTTGAGATCTGGTATGGCTGTAGACCAACTTCCATCACATTTTTTTTTCATTGATTCCTTTGATATCTTTGATTTTTTACTCTTCCACATGAATTTTCTTATTATTTTTTCTACTGCCATAAAATAATTTTTTGATAATTTGATTGGTATGGCACTGAATAGATCAATTTAGGTAGAATAGTCATTTTCATTATATGGGTATTTTCCCAATTAGATCTGACTTTATTTGTGTGAAAAGTGTTTTGTAATTATGTTCATATAGTTCTTGGGTTTGTCTTGTCAGGTAGCCTCCCAAGCATTTTATATTGTCTACAATTATTTTAAATGGAGTTTCTCTTTCTATCTCTTGCTACTGGACTTTGTTGGTAGTATATAGAAATGATGATAATTTATGTGGGTTGATTTTGTATTCTGAAACTTTGCTAAAGTTTTAATTATTTCAAGTCGTTATTTACTTGATTCTCTAGGACTCTCTAAATATACCATCATATCATCTGCCAAGAGGGATCGTTTTATTTCCTCATTGCCTATTCTAATTGCTTCAATTTCTTTTTCTTCTCTTATTGCTATAAATAACATTTCTTTTTTAAAAAATTTATTTATTTATTTTTAGTTTTCAACATTTACTTCTGTAAAGATATTGAGTTCTAAATTTTCTCCCCCCTCCTTTATATTCTCCCTCCCCAAGACGGCATGCAATCTGATAGAGGCTCTACATATACATTCATATTAAACATATTTTCCACATTAATCATATTGTAAAGAAGAATTAGAGCCAATGGGAAGAACCACGAGAAAGAAGAAACAAGACAAAACAACCAAAAAAAGAAAGCAAATAATATGCTTCAATTTGTGTTCAGACTCCATAGTTCTTTTTCTGGATGTGGACAGCATTTTCCATCATGAGTCTTTTTAGAGTTGTCTTAGATCCTTGCATTGCTGAGAAGAGCTAAGTCTGTCCAAGTTAGACATCCCATAATTTGGCTGTTATCATGTACAGTGTTCTCCTGGTTCTGCTCACTTCACTCAGCATCAGTTCATGTAAGTCTTTTCAGGTTTTTCTGAAGTCTGCCTGCTCATCTTTTCTTATAGTACAGTAGTATTCCATTACATTCATATACCACAACTTGTTCGGCCATTCCCCAATTGATGGGAATCCCCTCAGTTTCCAATTCTTTGCCACCACAAAAAGAACTGCTATAAATATTTTTTTTCATGTGGGTACTTTTCCCATTTTTATGATCTCTTTGGGATACAGACCTAGAAATGGTATTGCTGGGTCAAAGGGTGTACACAGTTTTATAGCTCCTTTGAGCATATATAACTATATTTCTAATACAATATTAAATAATAGAGATGATAATGGGCATCCTTCCTTCACCCCTGATTGTATTAGGAAGGCTGCTAGCTTATCCTCACTACAGATAATGCTTGCTGATAAATGTTTTAGATAAATGTTACTTATCATTTACTTATCACTTTAAGATAAACTCTATATATTCTTATGCTCTCCGGTGTTTTTAATAGGAATGAGTGTTATATTTTTTTCAAAGCCTTTTTTTTGCATCTGTTGAGATAATCATATGATTTCTGCTAGTTTTGTTATTGATCTGGTCAATTAGGCAGATAGTTTTCCTAATAGTGGATGAGTCTTGCATTCCTGATATAAATCCCACCTGGCCATAGTGTATGATCCTTGTGATATATTACTGTAATCTCCTTGCTAGTGTTTTACTTAAAATCTTTGCATCAATATTCATTAGGGAAATTGGTCTATAATTTTCTTTCTCTGTTTTGGCTCTTCCTGGTTTAGGTATCATCACAGAAGTATCTTTCTAATGCCATGTACTTGATCCCCCATTCTGCTGTGTTCTCACCAGTAACAATCTCCAATTATGGTTAGCATCTTCCTTATTATTGATTATTTCCAATGATTAGCACCCCAATATCATTTAACTAATTAAAATCAATTAGCTTTTACAAAAGGATATTTATTGAGAAGATATAACAAGAGCAGAAGTACTAGCATATCCCTCCACCCTAAGGGACACACTCTCCCCTAAATACACAGAGTCTGGTGTTCAGAGTTATGGGGGAGACTGGGCTCAGACTTAAAGTAGTTACTACAAATATTTTCCCCACCACCTTCACTTCTAAATGGGGCAGAGATAATGGATGAGACGTCCCCTTCTCAGGCAGGTCCCTTCTCTGCCAGCCTAGATTCTAGTCCTCAGAACAGTTATGGTACTTCACCTGGTCCTTCCATCATATATCATCATACCTTTCCTGGATGTAGTCTTCCCATCCTCTTCTCTGTGACCTGGTAGCAGGCAGAGAACCCTGTACATGTTCTGGGGATAGGGCTTCTATTGACCAAGACCCCTGTTATACTGTCCCCAAGTTTAGCCCAAGGACTCCTCTACCCAGGCCTCCTCATTGGCATTAAGGAGAACTGAGATTTAGGACTTCCAGATCCTGTTCAGTGACTCCCCCTCTCTCTTCATGCCACTCTGCTTCCTTATGTGCCTGGGGGATCTGTTATCTTTCCAACATGAGTTGGGAGTGGGGCTGCCTGAACTTGTCTGCCTTTTATGAGCAGCTTTCTATCTTTTGCCCAAGATGAAATAAAACAAATATTTCTTTGATAATTTTGATGCTGACTATCAGAGATGAAATCAGGTGGGTCTCAGTGTCTCATTGTTTCTTCTGCCCTCCCCGCCTGCCTCAGCCTCATTGTCATGCCCCTTCCCTACTCTAGCCTTTTACCTACTCACCTCCCTATTATTAATCTCCCCGCTATGTTACCCTGGCTTCTATCATCCCCTTGCCTTCTGAGCTCTGTTGGCTACCCATATACTAGTATATATGATGAAATTCACAGTTCTGAGAGAGAGGACTTGAAGGGAAAGGTCAACGAAAGGGAAAGTAAAGAAGAAAGAAAGCCCTGGCCTGAGGATGGGAGAAGAGGTTGGGTACTGGGGGACAACATTCTGTATCTATGTAATCCAGCCTTGTGACTGTTAACCTGAGTTTTTTGTGCTTCCCCTCAGGCCCATGCTAAGCATTCCATCTCTTGAGAGATGGACTTGCAGTCCAAAATAGAGAACTCTAGATAATATTCCAGTTTTCTTGATTCCCCACCAAAAACTGGTATAATGCTGGAAATGGCCCTGACTCCCCAACTAGGAGTTAATTCTGAAAGAGAGTAAGAGATTGTGGCAAAAGCTGGGGAGATGGTCGAAGGAAAAATGGGCTACCCTGAAGAACAGATAATTTCCTCCTGGGAAGGAGTATTATACACAGTGAAGAAAATATGGGAATGATTTTAGAATCTGTTTTATTTTCCTCCACAATAGAAAGGGTAGCATGCCGTGGCTCCCTGTAAAGCTTCCAGATTTAGGATAATTTTAATATTTTTCAAATTATAAACTTAAGAAGAAGAAAAAAGAAGAGGGAGGTTGAATTTCCATATACACAGCAGAACACAAAAGGAAGATCTTGTATGAAAACCTACACATCTATTCATGCCATGTTTTTTTTTTTGTTCTTTTTTTTTCTTTCAGCCAAAGACAAGGTTTATGAGAACATCCGTCACATTGGGCAGACTCTTAAGGAGTCTGAACGTTAGTAAGCTGTGGCTAGATTATAAGAATCTAAGCAGTGGTTAGATTATAAGAATCTGAGCATCTTAATGGAGACAAGATGGACCTTATATACAGAAAGACTGTGGGAGGGATCTAGGAGTGGCCAAGGAGTCTATGAGGTAATAGAATTCCAGGGACCTGAACCACTTGGCCAAGGGAGAATGGAGAAGTAGCCTGGGGCCATAGGGAGGTCCACAATGAAAGGCCAGTT